ACTTTCACGAAAATGTTGATGAAACAAAAAGATCACATGTCTACTTTCATTAGTATAATGATATGTTTTACACATAATTTTTGTTTACTTAAAATATAAATCAATATCCATGTATATTGTTACTAAGTAATTTGTTCATAACTGCAAGAAAATGAGAACATCATTTCATCATTCTTTCATTCAACGCTAGAACCCAACTCTGTAATTGTTCCTATTCTTAAACAACTTGGTTTTGCTAGGGTGGCAAAACTAAGGCATTTTAAGGTGGATCATGCATTGGTAACCGCTTTGGTCGAGAGGTGGAGACCTAAAACTGACACCTTTCATTTTCCAACAGGGGAGTGCACCATAACCCTAGAGGATGTTGCACTTCAAACTGGCCTAAGAATTGATGGACTCTTTGTCATTGTTCCAACAATGTTTGATTGGGAGGACATGTGTGATAATTATCTTGGCATTGTTCCAGTGAAGGGTGAATCACTTGTTGGCTCTATGGTGAAATTGAAATGGCTTAGAGACAACATGTTGTCATTACTAAAACAACCATCATAGGAACAAGTTCACGCCCATGTTAGGGAATATGTATTAGGTTTTATTTGAGGTGTTTTGATACTTGACAAAACAGACAATAAAGTTCATCTTATATCTTTACTAACTAACCTTAGAAGAATTAGAAGATATAGTTGGAGGAGTGCTTGTTTAGCTATGTTGTACAGGGAAATGTGTAGGGCCATGAAAGTTGGGAGAAAAACAATAGGTGGTTGTACATCACTTTTAATGTCTTGGGCATGGTATCGCATGCCATATATTGCGTTAATTCCCGTAATCCACCAACATACCCTTTAATGTGCAGATGAAGCGGGGGTAAAGTCTTAAGCTTCTGAATAAACCTCACAATGATGTTGTGGATATAGAACCATGTTTGACCAAATTCAAGCTAATCAGGTAAATGTTCATAACATAATTTTAAATTATTTATTATTTTCTTTTGTTTTCCATGTTATTTTAATTAACAAAGTTATATTTTTTTTTTTATAGTTTTTATGGCTCCATATCAAGACTTGCAACCCTCAATACCCATGAAAGCTTATAGAGATGTACAACTATGGACTTTATGTACCACCATCCTTTACTTTGCAATTGTTGAATGACATCAAATAGATAGAGTCAAATTGAAGTTTAGGCTCTTCCAAAAAGTTTTTTCTCTACCCAACAATTTGGACGATCTCCATGCAATTGACATGAGAGGAAGATATGATGAAAATTGGATCATAAGACATACATAATGAATAGATGTGTGGAACAATAGACGTGAGCTGACATTAACGAGACATCCAATGTAAGGCCCATTGTGTCACACATGAGAATACATGGAATGGTACATTTCCAATTCCATCCATTTCCTATATGTGCCACCACTACTACAAGATCCAAGGAGGAGGAGTCAACAACTACGGACTACCACATCATTTGATACCGGTACATTTTCCACATGATCATATCACGAGACTACACCATTTACTTCACCAAACATCATGCCTGAAGCAAATATAATTGATAAGATGCATTCGTTTGCAACTACTTCGGAGGACTTTTTTACAAACTTATTTGGAGCTGATTTTGCAACTCGATCTTCATCACAAAGTTACATGCAGTCTCTTTATCAACCGGATTTTGCAAATGAATCTGGTATTCCTCAAATGCTTTCCAACAAATGGCCATTCAAAATGACCCAACTCCTCCACAACTTGATCCTGAATTCCAAGAACAAGAACCACAACGAAAAAATCTACCACGTAACAGACATCACCCTCGTTGTGAAATTGGCCACCATTACAGAGATAGTTAATAATTGTATGTAAAACATTGTGAAGCTTCCTTAAGTTATAATTTATTCAATTCAAAATTTTCAAATAGCAAGTAACCACCTCATTCAAAAACGTTCATTTCCAAAACATGTCTATATATACCTTAGTGTAATTAACTAAAACATCAACTTAGACTTAATTAAATAAATATCTAAACGCAATATTACAACATATTTAAATAAATGTCTAAACATAATATTAAATATTATAATAATTATAATATATTTAAAAATCATTTCAAATTTACTGTTTTCATTTCTTAAATTATCAAAAACCAAAAATAAATTACATTTTCAAAAATTATAACTTGTTAAAATTATAACTTATTATAAATAATTATAACTTATTAAATTTATAACTTATTAAAATTCTAACTTATTATAAATTATAACTAATTCTAACTTATTATAAATTATAACTTATTTTAAATTATAACTTATTATAAATATAAAATTTTCAAATTATAACTTATTTAAATTTTAACTTATTAAAAATTTAACTTATTCAAATTCTAACTTATTAAAATTTTAAATTATTCAAATTATAACTTATTAAAATTCTAACTTTTCAAATTATAACTTATTATAAGTATAAACTTTCTGAAATTATAACTTACTAAAATTTACATAAAAATATAATTTTTCATCTTCTAACATATAAAAATTTACGTAAAAATATAAATTAATAAACATAATAATATTATTTTTATTTATATTCATCTTATTAAAATATTATTTTTCATATTCTAATATTTAACTTATACAAATAATATACCGGCTCGGTCTTATGCCGAGCCGTTAGTAACATTCGTCCCGGACGTTGGCTGGACCGATGTTTCCGACATCATGGCGTAGGTGTCTGACAGAACGGCACGTGTTGGTCAACGTGACCGATAGGGACCTTCCGGTACAGATTCAATGTCCAAGTATAATTTTTTTAAAAAGGTTATTTTTGTTATTTTATTTAAAAAGAATACGATGCACTGTCAATAAATTCTACCCATTTTTCAAATAAAGGTACGATACTTTGAAATAAAAGAAACATTGACATGCAATAAAATTAAAATTGAAATATGGAATTAACTTAGGTGCACTCGTCTATTGGGCGTTCTTAAAAGAATTTTAAGTGGACCAAAGATTAAAAAAAAATACTAAAAATATAAAACTTTACACAAAACAACTACTCTCTTAATGCTAACGTAAAGAGATTTATGACCAACAGAAAATCAAAAAAAAAAAATTGAGAACATATCTTATTTCTAGCATTCACAAATTTCGACCACTATACTATACCATTAAGATTTTCATTATCTTTTCTTAATCCTCCTTCAGGCGTGCATAGGTACATATTTTCTTCATCATCTTCCAGATAATTTTTTTTGAGTCTTAGGAATACTTTTTTCTTTTTATAGAATATGTCGCGAATTGGCTGGGTTAATATAAATAAGAATGATTACAGATATTCTTATTATTATTATTATTATTATTATTATTATTATTATTATTATTATTATTATTATAATAGTGCGTCTACCTGTGCATTACACGGTGATATATGTATGTTTGTTATACATATAAAAATGTAATTATAAATATTTAAATCAAAATTAATATAAACTTTACATTTTCGTACACAATTATATTTAATATATTTGAAAATGTTTAGGACAATATAATTAAATTTAGCAATAAACAATAATAAAATTAGAGAGAAATTTATCATTCAAATGTTATAAAAATTTAAACTCCTGTGAAATAACAATGTTTTCTATGTAAACTCAACGATCTAATTAAAAAAAAAACTCAATAATTTATTGTGCAAGCAAATATGAATAGAATAATATAACAAAATAGTAATTTAACCCATAATTATTTAAACTTCAAACAGACCATAATTTAAAGATTATGAAACACCTACATTACAAAATCCATGTTTATTATATACTTACAGAATGGACCTTCGGATGATAGAGAATGAAGAACATGTTTTTAAGTCTTAGGGGGGTGTATTGGTTTAGGATTTCGTAGGATTTACACTTTTCATATAATAAGGCTAATGCTCAAAGTAGTGCTAATCAATTTGGTAGGAAGTTGGTAGTAGATCTCAATTTTCCAGCTCCTATAGAAGATTAAGAAGTTAGTCATGTTGAAGAATGAGGACTTTTATGCTTAGTTAAGCAATTCAGGTAAAACTTTACAGACTGAATCTGTAATTCAGTACACACTGTGTTTTTACATCAAAATGTTAAGAATTATATATTATATATGTTTTAAATCATTTTAAGAATTTGACATTATGGTTTATATATATGTAAGGTAGCACTTTATTTTGATTATCATTAAGCGTTCTTGCCAATCATTTCTATCTTCTTAGTTTGTTAATTCTTATTGTTTAGCTCAACTATTTCTCCATGTCTCAATAAGCAACAAAATATATATGTATTCTTTGTTTGGGCATGTGGGGGCATGATTCATATTTCATCAGCTCCAACTTTACATTTTGGCAAAGTTATTGAAAAAGTAGAAAGCCTGAGATAGATTTTACATATGATCAATACATAATCTTATAAGACTTATGCTGTGAATAATGCAAATGTCACTCCACAAGATTTGGCTTAGCCTAATGGATTTGCATGTTTAATAAAACTGTGAATAACACATACCATATATTAGAAACAAATACAAGAGCAGACATTGTCTCCTTATATGATTTTGATAAAAAATATATGTTCAAAATTCTTTGATTCTAAGAAGAAAACTTTAAGATTTAAACTATAAGTTGAACCATAGGAAAGCTACACTGCCAAGCCACCCCTTGATAAGTATTATTCAGATTCTTCAACCTTTCTACTTTGATAACAATTTGATTCTACACAATAAACTCTCTCTTCCCCTCAAATTTTTCATATAACAGAATCTCATCACACAAGCCACACACCTAAAGTGCTACCTTACATATATATAAACCATAATGTCAAATTCTTAAAATGATTTAAAACATATATAATATATAATTCTTAACATTTTGATGTAAAAACACAGTGTGTACTGAATTACAGATTCAGTCTGTAAAGTTTTACCTGAATTGCTTAACTAAGCATAAAAGTCCTCATTCTTCAACATGACTAACTTCTTAATCTTCTATAGGAGCTGGAAAATTGAGATCTACTACCAACTTCCTACCAAATTGATTAGCACTACTTTGAGCATTAGCCTTATTATATGAAAAGTGTACCTTCTTGTGTCCACCGAGTGCTCGAGCAGACTTAAATACTTTTGAGCAGTATGGACACTCGAACACTTTCTCACCCACATCATCACTTTTTTTGCTAGTTCCATCATTGTCAGGGTCACCACCTTGCCATGTATTCTCATTTTTCTTATGGTTTGCTTTGTGCCCACCAAGAGCCTGATGAGACTGAAATATTTTTCCACATTTATCACACTTGAAGTTGGCTTGAGATGGAATTTGAGCAAGCAAGTCATCTCTACCATCTTCTTTGTCTTTTGCCCTAATTTCCTTCACTTCTTGATTCTTGATCTCCTTGCTTTCTGGCCATTTTTTTCTTATGGTTTGCTTTTTCCCCACCAAAACCCTGATGAGACTGAAATATTTTTCCACATTTATCACACTTGAAGTTGGCTTGAGATGGAATTTGAGCAAGCAAGTCATCTCTACCATCTTCTTTGTCTTTTGCCCTAATTTCCTTCACTTCTTGATTCTTGATCTCCTTGCTTTCTGGCCATTTGTCCTTGGAAAGCATTAATAGAGACCTAGCAGCTTCTTCTGCAAAAAGAGAGTCTGGTTTTGGAGTCACTTGTTCTGAATCAGCTTTCATCTCTATCGCGGCAATAAATTTGCGGTGGCATTTGGATCTTTTGCGGGTTGGGTTTTTAGGGTAAGGCCTAAATTCATTTTCTCTATTTGTGTTTGTTGAGAAGGAAAAAAGGCTGCGCTTCAAAGATCGGAAATTTTGTGCTGGTTTCTTTTGAGATTGAGAAGTCTGTGAGGAAGCAGATTGATTTGGACGATAGGTCAACTCGGCTGAGTTATCTAGTGCTTGGTTCTTGGTTTCGGGCTTTGGAGGAATTGGCAATTTGGCAAAGTGAGATCTCATGTGTCCTCCCATGGCTTTTCCATTGGAGAAACACTTATCGCAGATTTTGCAGACTTTGCTGTTGTTCTTCTCCATAGTTGCAGAAAACCTACAAATCTAAATATTTTTCATCATTTTTTAGAAAAAATTTATTCAGTAAAAACATTTATCTTTTTTAATTTTTTTTAATTTATCATATTTCTAGTTGTTTTCTAATTCTTTTTTATCATGGCTTTAATTCAGTTACTTATCCCTATATGTAAAGGTAAGTCTTTTAATTAACTCTTCTACTCAATAATTGTAAGACCTGTTCTAAAATACGAAAAATTGGTTTAGTATTTTCATGTTTGATTTCTCTTTATTTTAAAATATTGTTAAGTCAGCAGAAATCGTCCATTAAAAATATAAGGAAACGAAGTAGTAAGGAATTTGGATAGTGTGACATCTTAAATTTTATCCTTATGGTGGTTATACACCAAACAAACAAAAATCTAGGGGTAATGCGTGTTCTTTTAAAAATAAATAAATAAAGGGTTGTCAGGATAAACTTTCCTTCAAACATGTTATTTCTGAAACATCTGTTTTGATTTATTATGTAGTTCTCTTGAGTAGGCTGTGAGAGTAGTATAATACTAATCTACTTGTCAGTTGGTTGAAGTTGAATTAAAGAATGCATCCAAATAGTTTTTGATCCCAATGGCTTCTAGGTAAACCTACTAAAGGTTGTTTCCTTTCATCTTTGTATAGTGCAAATCTAATATCTTCCTTCCCTTCTCAAGAAGATTAATAACAGCACATTCAACTTCAAAAGCTCTAAACTAAAAGGGGATAAAGAAAAGAAACAGAATCAGACAAAAGACACAAGGAAGGAAAAGTAGATTGTTTCATGAACAAATAGTACACAGAGTCAAATGATCGTCATATGAAATGGAAAACATTACATCCCCATTGTTCTTTTGGTAGACATAGCCCTCACTTGTGACAAATCCTGGCTGTTGGCATAGTGACACAAACAGGGGAATAGAGTTTCCTAGCTTCAGGGGTGCCACGTTTGGGCTCATCTGCCACAGCCATCCCAGCAACAGAGCAAACAGCTGCAGCAGCAGCAGCAAACATCATGTTCCTCCTTCCATTGCTTCCTTCTTTCTCATTCTCATAACTCATCTTCACCTTTTCTCCTTCAACTGATTTGGCAGAATTTGCCACCACCAGCCTCCTCTGCGACGCCACCGGAGACCGGTGGCCGATGGTTGAGGTGCCAAGGAATGATGCTGTCATGGTGATTGATGCCATTGCTGCTATGTGATCTCAGTTCTGAACAAGCCCCCGAATGTTACAAGTAGTTAAGTTTGATAAAAGAATATATGCAATGTAATTCACAAACAAGGAACTGGTTGGACCCCCCACTATCTTATCCGGTTTATGAAATGACCAATAAATTATTGCCACGTAGAATAAGTGATCCACTGGAACTAGTGGTCATTGGGTGTATAATGTGTTATATGAATAGCTGCCAAGGAAAAAATATCTATCTCGTTTAAAATTTCTTTCAATTTCTACTTTTCTATTTTTCGTGTAG